CACGTCAATGTCAGTGTAATTGCGGGTCATGCAGATTACATTCTAAGCAGACGAAAAAAACTCAGTCTCCGCTTATTGATCGCGTACATGACGTTCGATTACTCAATTTGCTTATACAACGCTTCGGCCGCGGTACGTGTGCGTACCGTTAGTCGATCGAGATAAAAGAAATGGAAAAATATCTAACAACGTGCCGACCTTCAAACGGGTCTCGGGAGTTGAAGGCAGAGTTGAAAGGTTTCGCGTGAAAGTCAAGGCCAGCCGGCTGCAAAGCGTTGCGCGTTTTCATCGAACGAGTTTGATTATTATTGTAATTTTATATTTGCGCGTTCGGTGAAAGCGATCCGTTCGACGAAAATTGGATCTTCGTGTTCTTCTCTCACCTGTGCATCTCGGGTAAATGTTAACACGGTTAAAAGTTCCAACGAGCGATCGCACGATGGTTCCGCGCTCGATTGAACGCATCAAAAGAAATCGCGTGCGATCGTTCGTGATAATAACGCCGTGGATTGTGCGCTCGCTCGTAATTAGATAGCAAATTAATAATTTTGTAATTGCGCTTCGTGCAACGAGTTTTTGTATTTTCTCTCGAACGTGCAGAAATCGTGCAAACAAAAAACGATACGAGTTTAGACGAGTGGAATCACGTACAAGGGGTTTTATATCTACTGTATATTAATCTTAAAAAATATCTTTTTCACAAATTACACAAAATTATAAGATTTTATTTTTTTTTTTAAAGGAACAGTTATCCTGTACACACGAAAAAAACAACACAATTAATTATAAATGTTCATAATAACTATATATACAGATCTATATATATATAAGCACCTGAAATACATAATATTGCCTGTTTTCACCTTTGAGCGCTTGTAGGCCAAAAATGACTTATAGGAGTAAGTTGTGGCAATGATATCTTTTGATCAGCATTGCATCAAATATTATTTTTCTAAATTTCAGTCACTTTGAGTGAAATCCAATTTTCATAAGAAAAGTGCGAGGTCTTTTGTATAGTATACAGTTTGTAGTTATTTTGTGTCAAGTTTCAAAACAGTTTACTACAAAAAGTTATATCGGAGGTGTTGCCGGCGCGAATAACGCGAACCACTATCGTGCGTCGTGATTCTCTCTTTCTCTCTTCAACTTACACTTCTTGTCTTTCTTTCTTTTTCGTCTTAAAACGCGCTCGTATATGTATGTCATCCGACAGCAGGTATACGAACTTGCACACAATTTGGTAGCACGATGACGACGACGACTACATTTCTGAATCGTAAATTTTTCACTTCGAAACGTTATCGTCGTATATCTCGAAAAATCAGAAACAAACAACAAAAACGCGAGAATACTTTTTTTTTAAGTTTTTCAACGTGAATCGAACGAGACTAAAAATAAGTCGATCGGTTCGGTCGTTATTAAAAAATGGCTGATTAAAAATCTTCCCTCCATTGAAATACCTGATTTTCGCGTATAAGAGGCACAGTTGCTCGCGCAGTTCGAACGCCTCACTACGTTGCGCGTGAAAAATAAATAGTGATTTTTTTACCGACACAATTTTAACACGTACGTATACGGATAGTCTGTTGGCAAGTATGTCGGCAAGTACGCGAGCGCGTACTGGCTCTAAATTTCAACTGTCAAACGCGGAACGTGAGAAACTTTATCACGGATGTCAAGTCTGTGATTCCGCCGCTGATAACCCAGGATTTACTCGGCAGTAAATGCACCGCGACGAGAGATCCCACGGACAGTACTTTGCGACAGTATGTAATAACCGACTGTCGCATATCGGCATAATTGCGAGAATCCTAATAAGAAATGTGGCTTAGAGACACTTCACCGAAATTTATACCGGGCCATTACGAGAACCGGTTGTGTCACTCCAAGTCGTGTGCACAAATTGCATAATGTGTAATATCTTGCAATGGGCTCTGCACGAGCAACCGCTCTGCATCCCGGCGACATCGTCAAACTCTGTTTTCCTCGTTGCGTTATAACGCTATTGAAACACCACTAGTGTGTATTAAAAACGTGTTCAAACTCTGCGACAAATTAATGTGAGCGCGTAAAGGACCCATGCGAGCTAAATGTTGCAAAATCTTTTTGTAAAAATTGCGTCTCTTTAAGCGTCAAGATGAAAGAGATGTCACAAGAACTCCCCTTTCGACACCTTCCGAAGCGAGCGAACGAAGACTTCGTTTCTATTTCCGGCGGACAACGCGCGACAAAATTTCTCTGGAAAAGAAACAAGTTTCTAGCGAGATAGTCCTTCGAACATCGCGTGTGTACATACTCTTTAGATTATCATAAATAAACCAAAGAGAACGAGCGTTGTATATATAATGGGATGAACGACCTCGCGACGAAAAGGAACCTCTCTCGAAACTGTTCGCTGTTGTAATCCGTTCGTCGACACTCGGATTTGTGTTAAGTTACGTCAAATATTGAGAAAAAAAGGGGCACGAGCCGGGCTTCTTCGAATTAAATCGCACGTTGATCGAAGAAATCAGAGATTTCGTTCGGTCTCTACGTACGCGATTCGGTTGCCGCTCTTCACCGTTCGTTATGCCGATAAGTTTTTTTTTTTTTTTTTTTTTTAATAGGCACCAGCCGTCAATTAAACGCAGGTTTCTGACATCGTCATCATCATTCGGAGGTACTTTTTGCTCGAAAATTACTCGAAACGCTTCGCCGCATTTCTGACTCGATTTATGCGACGAAAAAGAGTTCCTACCTTTTTTTTTTTTTTTTTACCGACGAGTTCGGTCGTGCGCGCGACGCGTTTCCGCGCGTGACTTCTCTGAACGCGTTCTCGGATCGTCAAACAAATTCTTCATCTCGACCAAGCCGAGCTTCGTGCCGCTAATTTCTAATGTTCGTGACCACGGAGGGCTTCTTCTCGCGGCAGCCAACTTGCAGGGAGGTCGTCGTACTTCCGGCAAACCAGTCCGCACCTTCCGCTATGAGAACCACTGGATTCGTCGGAGATCATGATTATTATACAAGAGCACGCGGGTTCGTACGTCTCTCACGGTTCCATTCGCAAAATAAAAAAGCCAGTCGCCCGATACGGCTCACGTGCGTTCAGTTAATTAAGTTCGTTGCACACGACGCGCGTCTCTCGAACGACGAAGGTTTTTTCACGACGCGTTAATCCGCGAGGATTGCGCCTCTCAAGTACGTTTTACTTTCCTTCCTGTCTTCGATCGCGATCAATTTTTTTTTTTTTTTTTTAACTCCGTACACATATTTTTATTTAAAACACGATTTTGAACACGATTTTAATGCATCTCGCGCGCGCGTTCTCTTCTCGCTCGCGAAAGTACGTCTCATGCCAGTTGCAGTATAATATATCATTGTAAACACACACACACACACATTACGACCGTCCGGAGCAGAAAATCACGACAAGATTGTTTTATCCCTTTTCTTTTTCTTCTCTCAGTGCAAAAATACCGTCATATTCCGATTCTCCGCGGATCACAAGGTACAAAGGTGTCTCGCTGTATCTTTGTACGCGCGCGCAAATTGCGCCAGACGGTAATTAACCGCATGTAAATTTATGTTAAGCTTTGCTTCGAGCTGAATACATTAGCGCTAAAAAACGTACAAAGATGCTCAGCAATTTTCTATTGAAATTAACAGAATAATGCCGCGGCTAAAAAACCAAGAAGAAAAGAGAGGAGGAGAGGGGGAGGGAAGGGATGGAATTCCCGGCTGGGGGATAATAATTATTCCGGTACGATTGTGTTAAATAATTAGTAAGGCCTTAATCTCGGCCTGGCGTGACAGGATGCGCCGCGGGTTTCAGGACACGACAATTAAATTCGTAACACAAACCTTCTCGATCTTTTTTCTTGCGCTTTTTTTTTTAATTCTTTTATTTTTCGCGGAAGCGCCGTGCGCGATCGACCAGGCCACAACCGGATCTGTGAAAATTGCAAGAGACGAGCAGAACAAACAAAAGTTACTGTTCGAAACAAATAAAACAAACTGTAAAACAAAATTTGTTTTGGAAATAAAAATGCAGAATAAATCAACTCGTACTTTTGATGCGACGAATTAATTAATTTCTCTCGACGGTTTATTACCTTCGCGAGTTTGAAAAAAAAAAAAACAATCGCAACATTGCGTCTAACAATATCTAGAGACCGATCATAGGTCACATGATTATTTGATGAGGCGCCAAGCCATAACACACTTGATTGAATTGTATACGCAACGGTATACAATTGACTCTGAGTAATAACATGTCGTATGTACACGTACACGTCGGCCTTGCATTGTTGCATCGGTTGAGCAGCGAAGTACAGAAACAATATTCGCATTGTTTCGAAAATTTCTCGCGCGGTCCCGTTCGTTATTGACGCGCTATATATAATTAAATTGCTCGAACATGAGACATTTCTTTTCAACTTTCTTTCTTGAATATGTATACATTCATATAAAACAAAAAATCCGCATTTTTCTCTTTTATTTTATACATATATTTCAAACAAGATTATCTTCCGTCAAAATGTGCGACTCTTGTCTACACCCGATTTCCAATTTGTATGCAAAAAACGTCAGACGATATCTAAGCGACAATATCTAATCTTATCTCTTCCTAGAAAGTCGACGAAATAACGTGTGCAAATATATTTTTTTCGAATGATTGTACTTTCAAATCGAGTTATCACCGTCGAACAATGTGCAAAGTGCGCGAGTAAGAACGCGGAAAAACAAACCAATTGCTCGCATAAAACACTAAAGCTAAATTGTTCTGCTAGTCCGTCGCGTTTCGAAAATGGAACGTTCGGCGCGGATCGGGGTTAAGAGCCTTGGCGACGCGCGCTCGAATCCCCGAAAATAAAACGTCCCTTCTCGTCGCGGAAGTAGCGTCCGAGAGCAGAGAGACTTTCTCTCTCTCTCTCTCTTTCTTTCTGTCTCTGGTGGATCTCCAAATCCCCGTGTGGGGTGGCAAACGAATGTGGAGTAGAATTGTGGCGTTACGTGCCGCTGAGTAACGGAGCGGACACGGAATAGAGCGTATCGCGTGTCGTCTCCAGTTTCGCGCGGCGGAAGGCACCGAAACGCGGCAAGAAAAGCGGCAGTCGCGTATCGACCGGCAGACAGGTCGGTGCGCGGATCGGATTTGGTCTCTCTTCGAGCGAGCGGCGACTCATTCCTCGACACCTTCGCCAGAGAATCGATGACTGAAAAGAGCTTTCGCTCGCTGGAACATCCGGTATTCACCGAGAACCTTCGCACCGAAACAAATTGATTATAATGATCAAAATCGCGCGCTGAAGAAAATTCGATCGGGTTCGATCGCGATGCCGATCTAGCGAGAGATCGATGGGAACATCGCTCGCTCGAGAAAATTCAACGACAGACGCCTGATGAACGTTTCGTCAATCGATAGTGATTGAGGAGCTTCGTGACTCTATGAGTGACAGTTGTTGAAAACACAAACGAGTGCGGGCCCAGATAGATCGTCGTGCCGCTTTCCGATGGATCGCACGTGACCGGCGTAAAAGTATCTCGCGAGAGATCGTCTGGTGCCAAGAGAATTGGGAGAAAAAGTCTCGACATTAGAAAGGAGCGACAGAATGTTGAAGGAGAATATGTGGCGACAAAGGAGAGTACCCGTTCCCAAGAGGTAAGGAGATTGTCTCGTCGCGATTAACCGGGCGTTAAAGACGCCTAATTACGCGTGCGCCCGATTAACATCTGCTCCATTAAATATTTTATCCGTGAGCGCGTGAGAGAGAGAGCGCGCGAGAGACGTGTTTCGTCAAACATCATATAGTTAACTTTTATAATTATATGATTAAAAAACTTGACAATGACTCACACGTTTTAATACGAGAGATGTTTATAAATATTATTAATTAATTTGTTTTTTTTATTTCTTTTTTTTTAACGAGATATCTACTTTTTTAACTTCTTCTCTCGAGTTTTGCTTAAAACTACTACTGCGTGGTCAAACATGTCTATGATTAAAACTTTAATATAAAACTTACTTTAAGTTTTCATAAAAAAATCTTTATTAATTAATTTTTTACGAGAAGAGGTATCTACTTTTTTCTCAATCTCTTATCTTCTTTTTCCGAGTTTTGTTTGAAACGACAACTGCGTAGTAAACATGATATTGTCATTTATCTTGCCTTAATACGAGTCGATAATTGCAAATTCTTCCGCGCGAGTGAATGATGAACTATCGTGACGTTTGCAAAAATAACGCGAGCTTCATTTGTGTTTCTCGGCTTGTGAGCTCGTCGTCGTTTCTCGTCTCTTCGCGCGATAATGAATTTTGCGCGGCCCGAACCGAGAAAATCGCGCGATAATGAATCTCTTCGCGTTTATATATCGTCTATAAATAAACGTTTATATCGACGAGATCTGTTGCGTAAACGGGGCGAAGCAGAGAGGCGGCTTTTCGCGCTGACCGATTGTTTATTGCCATAAAACGGAGTAGTAAGAGTAACTCTTGAAACGAGCGTCCCGTAACAGAACCGCATCATTATCGGCCACTCTCTTCGCCACGCGGAATCCCGTCGCACTTCCGACTTCTCTCGGACTCGACACGATATCGAATACGTACACGTTGCGCGCGTTCTCGTCGAGCCACACGAGTACATCGCAATTAACAGCGACTACGATAATGCGTCGTTAAGTGGCCGTCTGGGAGTGAGTATTTTCCATTACGTAGAAACAGCTTCTCTCTTGTATTATCAAGTACGTCGTGTTGTGCTCAAGCATAAAATCTGATTTAATAAAGTACAGGATCGGCGCGCGCGCGCGCGCGCGGAGAGAGGATACTCGCGTAGAAAGCGGTCGAGTATTAAAAAAAATAAAAAAAAAAAAATACTTCGTTTATAACACGGGTCAAACATGCGTGCGTGCGTGCGCGCGCACGGCGTGCATGTAACTTCTTATCTTGTAGTTAATATTGAGAGAACACGAACGCATTTTTCAACCCCGTCAACAAATCCGCCGCGTCGAAAAAGTGTTGCGTGTACACACACACACACACACACATACGTACTTATTACGACAAATACGGCTAGAAAACTCGTCTAACTGGATTGAGATATGCGCTCCGCAAATTAACAATTTCAAAGCGCTGAATAAAACGATTTGTCGGAGGTTTATTAAACACACACGTAAGTGTTTTTCTCGTTAAGAAACGAGAGAGAGAGAGAGAGATAGAGAGAGAAAAAGAGACCTCAGAAAATTTCGAAATGTTGAAAACTTAATCTCGCGCACATTGTGTAACTTTTGTACGTATCCACGAAGAAAAAAATAAGAAGCTTTTCGAAAGAGAAAAAGAGAGAGAGAGAGAGAGAGACAAGATAGGTGTGTATATCTCGCGAGTAGGCTGCAATAATTTATCATATATGCACGCTCGTTAAAGTCAATTGTGGTCGTTGCATCGCAACGAGCCATTGTCGGCGGTGCATTGACCGCGATCAAAAGTTGCATCGCAATTTCAGCAAGAATCCCTCCCTCACGGATGGGGGAGAAGGAGAAGGACGACGTTGTTGTGTGTTGCCTCATGTAAACGTTACCACGATCCATTATGAGAGATTAAAAGAAATCGCAGTATCATCCTTCCTCCCGTAATCGCGAACATTTTGCATGGTACTTACGTATCGGTACGTACGATCGAACAACCATGAGAAAAAAAAAAAAAATACATCGCGTTCGAGGAATTTTATTATGAAAGTAACAGTACAATCGGGAGATTTTTTTTTTTTTTTTTTTTTTTTNTTATTATGAAAGTAACAGTACAATCGGGAGATTTTTTTTTTTTTTTTTTTTTTTGCATGTGTGCGCGGAATTGCGCACGGGGAGAACGTCTGCGCGCGAGACTATACGTGTCTCGTTTCCCCTTTCTCACGGATGTGAATGTCCGCGTGCGGAAATAAAAAGAAAAAAAATTACGCAAATATAATATAACGTAACAAAATTAACGCAATATAAAAAAAAAAAAAGATCGACGCAATCCGCAAACATTGTTTCGCTTGTAAATAAAATAAATTCCCAATTGCGTAAAAATTTCTCATCGCGTTTCCCTTTTTATCGGAACGTATCGCTGCGGAATTCTTCGCTGAGTCCGCGGTCTCTCGATCGGCCAGGCTGCGATTAAATGAATTAGGCCGCGAGTGTATTACATATCAGACGGTCTGACCCGCAGACCTCGTTAACGTGAACGGCGCCGTTCCTCTCGTGCGATCGGATAAGCAATTTCTATGTAGAATGTTCGCTCACATTTCGCCTATTTGAATATATACGACAATGCGGCCCGCATGCGGGGACAATTGGATTTCCAAAGCGATACGCATTCGCCGCATTATATGTGCACACACGCGATAGTGTTATATACGTACGTACATACGGTGCCCCTTTTGTGTACTGTGCCCCGTTACGGTATATACAAACGCGTTCCTAAGAGCTTACGGTTTCCTTCTCTTCGCGTGTCGTTGACACTGCGTCCGCCGCAGAACGATACCGTTCGTTTCTCGCTTTTCTCTCGCGCGGAGATCCGCTTGCGTTTTGCCGATAAGTCCGGAAGAGCTTGCGACGGAAACGCCGACGTGTACGATACGTTTCTTGTGCATCTCATACTGTGAGGAAACCTCGGCGGCGAACACATCTGTTGTTTCGCGAAGGATTGGAAGAGACGTCACGCGCGATCTTGACGAAACGGCGATTGTCTTTTCAATCGCCGAACGGTCGATCGAGATTTTTTTAATTTTTTTGTAAATTTATAAGAATAAAGACATAAAATTAAAATCCGCACAGTATTTGTGACAATTTTCGTATCGCCGCGGTGAATACTTCGAGTTGCGCGTTCTCAAGTTGAACGTTCATTTCCCGACAAACCGCCTGATTCCCACGTGATAATGACGAAGCCGAGCGAAACCGGCGTTCGGTGACAATGCAGTCATCTCTCGTGCTGCGGTTAATTCGTTGAATTGTGCGATCATGACGGGAAATGCAAGAATAGCTGAGTGCTATTTATAAAAACGTGCGGATCACGTTTTCGAAGAATCGGTGTGTATAAATCTAATCACGTAAAAAACTGCAATTACATTTATATACAAAATAATAATTTGTTAAATTATTTTTTTTTGCTACTTTTTTAGTTATTTATTTTTTTTTTTTTTTTACCGCACGTTGAGGAAGCAATTTGCCGATTAATTCGCACTCAATTGGAAACGTGTAATCTCGCGTCGTTATTTCTGAAAAAAAAAAAATCAAAAGATTATTAGCACGCACTTGCGTGTGCTCGCACGACGAGGTGAGGCAATCAAAGTTGTTGATATATTCAATTAGTTCTCGTCTAACTCTCAATATATCCGAAGTAAGAACGTTAATTTCGCATCGACGGTAATAAGAACGTGCTGTGCGCGCGCACAGCTGCAACCGCGACACAAATAGTTGCGGTACATCGAATCGTGAAATCGGTCGAAGGTGCATCATATAAGGCGATTACATGGAGCGTGTACACCATGGAGTTCTTTAACGCGGTCGTGCGAATTTACGCGAGTTGCATTACCTAATCCCGTCGGCGTGTAATATCAGTAGATTACAAACGCGCCGCTCGATGCGTCCGATTACAATAGAAAGCGCGAGACAATTTAACTCACACACTGAGTTTACTACAACGTGCTCTTTTTCAAATTTCTTCCAGTACTTTCTGTTACTTCCGCCGCGCGAGTTAATTGCAAACTGACAATTGATGCGAGAAGAAGTCCGAGTCGGCACTCCTCTCTTCTTTCTTCTTCTTCTTCTTCTTCTTCTTCTTTACTTTGCGGCACCGAGAAAACTTTTAGCGCAACAGAATCCTTCCAATTTACTGTGCAACGTGTGCAGTTTTATTTTAGCGTAATTGCTATTTTAGAATTAAACAATTGTGACGAAAAGTTCATTACTGATAAATAATTCTTTCATTTTTCAGGACGATCGAGCTGATCGCTCTGGTGGCGATCTCTTCCACGCTCTTTCTCTTTCTTCACACGAGGGACTTGCATTCGCGTTTGAAAAAGATGGAAGTGCGTCTTCAACCGGGGGAGGACGAAGCGCTTTCGGCGAATCAACTCTCTTTCGGTAATATTCGAATCTCGCGCAACGCACTAAACTGTAAGACAAACAACGTAATTTTGCATTCGCTAGTTAATGAGATTCGAGACCGAATAGACGGCAAGATCGATGATTGTCGTAATAGTAATCAAATTTTCGAAACAAATAGAAAGTAAAGAAAAGTAGAAAGTCAAGAAATATTGGGGGAGCTAATTTCTATCTCAATTACCAGTTGTTAAATGTTGACACTCGTCCGAGACCGGTATTCGGATCCTACATTTTTCCGGTCGTCCCGTAAGTTCATCTCGAGATGCTTCGAGACCAAAACGAAGAGTTTCGAGATAAATTCAAGATCGAGTCGCGAATACCGGTCTAAAGTGATCCGAACAGGAACTTAAAGTTTAAGAAAGCTGAAACGTAAACAGGTACATACACTTTTCTTCCTCGAAGGCGTGTTCCCGGTTGAGGAAGGTCAAGGTGTGAGAGAGCGAATAGGAATCGCGCGCGAATCATCTATTCATCATTGTTAATGAATCGGTAGAGATTTTTTGTGTTTCCCGCGTCTGCATTGGGCGCGCGAACAAGTTGAGATAAAATGTTTCTGAGATTTGCGCACGGAAAAAAACTAATATCGGAGATTGTGCGTAACTTAGTGTCACAAAGAAAGCGTCTTTTGCTCGCTGATGATTCTTATCTCTCTTTTCCGACTTGCTTGCGCCCGCGCATGTAAATGCGCGCGCATCAAGACGAAAAGAGAGAAAGATCTCTATCACGCGCTCCGAGTGGTGGTTACCATTTCACATTCATTTCGCGAGATTCGCAACGGTAATACGAGAGCTTCGTTTACTCGCCATCGCACGCGTAATTATTCGTGCGTGGTTACATCGTTCGCTTTACACGCGGTAATAATTCGCGCGCGTACACGTCTTTCCTATTCACCCGCGCGTCTTGTACATCCGGTGTAAATTTAATTACATTTAAAGCGACGCGATTGCGCTTCGAGACGCAAACACGGATCCCGTTTTTGTTATCGCGCGAGATCAAAAGTGCAACTTCGTGTTGTCGAAGAAAAAAAAACAATATTAAAATAATAATCGATGAAATAAAAGAAAGCAATATACAACGCGCGCGTTGCTCCCAGCGGCGCTTTTACTCTTCTGCAAAGTGTGTCTCTTCTTAAAAAGAACATATTACGAACGTGTTTAACTTACAATTATCAAAATAGACGCTTGCATTACTTTCTAATGGACATCTACCGTTTGTGACGTGATTGAAAGAGTAAACGCGTCAGTTTCTCATTCTTATGTTAAGCGAAAGTATGCGAGACCTACGCGGGTACTATTCGCGCGAGTCGAAAGCGGTGATATAAATCATTTCTACGAAGGGAAGAGACTCTTCGATAAAAAAAAAAAAAAAAAGATCGTCTCGATCGTTCGTGGGAAAAACATAATTGCGAAAACTCGACTCGACACGAATTAATCCAATTTGCCGAGGAAAGAGAGAAACACCTTTGAGATCCGCAAAAACATTCCGTGCGCAAATCTAATTAGAACGTAAACTATCTCTCACCTACATTTCAACAATATGCGCGAACACATTTTTTTTTTTTTTTTTTCATTTCTTATATAAAGAAAATTATCTCTCACTCGTCTTACTTTCATTTATAAATTTAAATATTTGTTGTATAAATGAAATTGTGTGAACATCGTAAGATAAGATAATTGACACCTACGCGAGTATCTTATCTCACGTAAATATAAACAACTCTAGAGAGAAAAAAGAAAAAAAAACTCGTCCTTTTTCCGTCTGTTTCTTTCACCGCGCGAAGACGCCGCGTCACAACAATCCGTTCTATTTTGTTTTACAAACCTGTGCGCGACAAACCCGTGCGGTCATCATATTAATCGTCTCGAGCAGTTCAATGCGCGTGAAATCCGCGCGCGCGCTCGAATACACACGAGACAGCTCCTCGTTCACACCGGGAGGAAGGAAGAAGCGGTACACACACACATACACACAGCGTCGAAGAAATAAAGGATGTGGTTCTCCTCCCGGAGGCGGAATCGACTCCGAGAGCGGAGTCGAGAGTGGATCCGCGCATCAAAGGGAGGTGAAAGGAAAAACTCTGGCGAGCGTGAGCTGAAATAAATCACAGACGTGCGCGTTAAAAGGAGAAATGGATTAATCGTTCGCGAGGAAATAAATAGCGATGTGAATGGAAATGAAAGTTCAATCGCTCACATCGTAAACACTCACCCGGGAGAGAGGGAGAATGACGACTCTTTTTCCAATCGATCGAGAAATTCTCGCTCGGTCGGAATAAAAAAATAAAAAAAAAAAAAAAAAGGACGAAAGAACGATGAGACGAATAGGATCACGTCTTTTCGCGCGCGCGCGACTGTGTTCGCCTCGAATAAATCGCAACCACATTTGATTCGTAAGAAACGGCGTTTTGTATTAACAGCGTCATAACGGAAAGTTTTTACGCGCATATTCTCCCGACAACGGGAGACAACATGCAAAACGTAACAGAACAGCTGATTTAGAAAAGAGTTGTCGGTCTCTCATAAGTTTGAAGTAAACTATTGAAATTTGATTTTTAAGACACTCGAGAGAGAGAGAGAGAGCGTTTTGAAACTTAAAAAAAAAAAAAACAGAACAAAACGAAGATACAAAGAAATTATGTGTTTTTTTTTTCTGAAGAAAAACGAAAGGATCATTACGGTAATTGTAACGAGCAGACTCACAGTCGGCGGTCAAGGAAAAACAGAAGGAAGAGAGAAGAAGCTTCTCTCCGTAGGACTTGCGAGAAATCTTCTCTCACGAAGTGGATTAACGAGATGCCTTCCGCTTCTTCGCGGGGATGCAACGTTCGCACCTACGTACGTGCGCTTCGACTCGATGTTATCGTTTTGCGCAACACTCGTAATACGTTTGTGAGGAATGCGCGCGCGATGTCCAGACTCCTCGCGCGCTCGAGAGATCGAGAGATCGGGATAATGATCTATCGAGAACGCGTACGTTCTCCTCTGAAAACGATCTCGGCGGTTCGTTTTTGGAGCACAACGACAGATGCGAAATTACCGTGATCGCGCGTAATCAATCAAATTAATTATCGAAGCGCGTAATCTCTGATGTATTCTTTTTGTAATTTGCGATTTTTAAAAAAAAACTCAACTTAAAATAATTTGCCCAACAAAACAATTTTAACGTAAAAAAAAAAAAAACATTTCTCACGTATCCAAGTTGCGACTTTTAATACGCGTGTTGTTATTGATTCATCGCGCAAAACTGTTCCCGCGATGATTTCCCTTATTTGTGCAGTCTCGTCGCGTTCGAAAAACAATTTTTGTGCGCAGATCTCGTTTGCTTTGTCTTACTCACGCTTGATTTTAATATAATCGACCGAACGCGATTCAGCGCGCCTAATAAACTTGCGCGAGAAGTTCACATCGAACGTGCGAATTATTTTGAAACGCGGTCGGCAGAGCTTACATTCGACCTCTATTGAAAGCGGTCTCAGGTTTAACTTGAGACGCTACTTAAACTAAAATAACAATGCGGGTGAAAGTAAAGTATCTTATATATATATATATATATATATATATATATATATATATATATATACATGAAATATGAAGCGCCGCCGTACACCTGTTGAAAATAGAATATTCGCGCAGCCTCTTCAGGTCTGCGGATTATCTCGAAAGTAACGGTTTACATATATATTGTATATAATCGCTACAGGTACGCTTCACACACCACCAGTCTCGCGCGGATCAAAAAAATCGTTCGCTCGAAAAGACGAGTAATTGCACGACGCTTTCATGTTCATTTCTCGACCTGACAGTCGCTTAGACACGTCAATCTATTGTGTGCGGTACAAAATTCTAATTACACGCGACACTAATCCCGTGAGGAAATTAATGTCCTTTTACGAAACACACATTATATACTATATATCGCAGAATCAACGAGCCGAGCATATCTTTAATTTCGCGATGTTGTTGATGTTATCGCGAAGAATGAGAGGAAGTCTCTTTCCTCTCCTCTCTTCCTCCCGGGACAAGGTTACAGAAAATTAAACGCGAACGACGCTCGCCTTTGTTCGTCGCGCGTACTTTCTTTCTTTTGACTCTCGTTCTCCATTGTCCCGGTCACGATTGGTCGATCGGTTTAAAACTAGGAAGCGATTCCCTTGCATTGTCGCGTGACATACAACAACAGATATGACAGTATAATAAAGACGAGTGTGCGCGCACGTAATGATAATAATGACAGATCAGTAATAATGAAAACGATCTCTTTTTATGCATCCTCAGCGTATCGAAATCGTTATCCCTGAAGGAAGGAGCACGATGCGAGCACGATGTCCGTCTAACCCAGATCGAGGAATTTCCTCGTTGAAACGCATCAGCAAGCTGGATCAGGTTGCACGTGCATATAATATCGCGTCCGGAGAAGATCGGTACACCGTGACGTGCTAAATATTATCCAAGTCTCTCTTTCAGAGATAGAGAGAAAGAAAGAGGGAAAAGAGGAAAAGAAAGAGTGAGAGAGAGAGAAAGAGAGATGTATCGCGTGCGTGCTCTTCTCCGTGCCAGATCTCGTTGAAACGACGATAACTATCTTCGATGGATACACACGCGGGAATATCAAATAGTTAAGATAAATTGTTTCGCTCTGTGTACACGTAACACGTACTTGAAAGATTACTCGCAATTTAACCCCGCGCGCTGTCGTATACGCAGCGAGTAGCAAACCTATATAATGGATGGTGTTACATGATAATGAGTCTGTATAGGTAAAGAAAAAAGGAAAGCGCGCGCGTTATTATATTATTACGCCATTTTCCTCACGTGAAAAGCGGCATCGAACGATCGTAACAAACAATCGCGTCCGTGTGATTAGCGTCAACACATTTATGGAAATTGCATACAACATGTATATATATAGAAATTGTCTACCGACTTCGATTTCACTTAATGGAATATTGTTGATCTTATTAAGCGCGTCGTGCGCTTCTT